TTTGGGGGGGACACAGACATTCGGTCTATAACAGATGGCACTTACCCCGTAGAGCCATTGTACTAAGATTAAAACCCTTAGCTGAGCATCTGACATACAGTATGCTCTCTCTATGTGTTGGTTTTTATTTCTTTTTTCTTGCTCTTCCTTCTTTTCTTTTCTTCCTTTCTTTTCCTTTTCTTTTTCTTTTTTTCCAGCACTGGGGACTGAACAGAGGGCTTTGTGCCTTGACCACTGAGCTACATTCCAGCCTTATTTCTTTTATTTATTTATCTGTGTATTTGTCTCAGCTAGTTTTCTTGTTCACCAGATCCCCAAAGTTAAAGGGGAAAAGGTTTATGTAGCTCACAGTTTGTGGCGGTTTCAGGCCATCATCAGCTGGCTCCAAGGCAGGCTGTCTTGGCAGACAGGCCTTGCAGAGGAAAAGCAGTTCATGGAGGGCAGCAGGCAACAAAGCAGCATAGAATGACCAGGGCTCTTTCTATCCCTTGCATCTTCTCCCGGCTACTCCGGGCAGATAGCACTCGTGCCCTTAATCCTAGTGCCCCTGATCCTAGCACTGCACCATCAGTCAATCCCAGCATCACACACTCTAGATCCAGCCACCTCAGAAAAAGCCGCATCTATGACTGCATGAGGCTTTGGGGGACATCTAGACACAGCCATAACAGTATTTACTAATTTTATTTATTTTTGAGACAGCTTCTTGCTAAGTCACTAAGTTGGAGGCCTCAACCCTTCAGCCCTCCTCCCTCAGCCTCCCACGGTGCCGGGATCACAGCTGTGCACCACCTCGTTTCTCTTCTAACCTGACCACGGAGTGCCCACCACAGTCGTCTCTGCCCAGGGACTCAGCGATCCTCGCGGATGTAGTGTGTGCCTGTCTCGCCACCAGGGGGTGGGAGAAAGACTACAACCCACTTCTGAGCCCAGAGCACACGCTTTTCAACTACACCAACCGCTCTGCAAAAGCATTGTGTCTGAGTAATGCTGTCTGAAGACATCTGGGGAGCTCAGGGCTACCCGGAGAGGCAGACACCCGAAGGGACCCCGCGCTTGGAGCACAATGCCGTGACCCCAGAGGTCAGCAGGCACGGGCCTCCTCTAGGAAAGGACAGTGAGGCCCGCGGAAGCCCTGCCACTCCCGCAGCTGTGGCTCAGGTCGTCTGCTTCCGGGTTCTCCACAGAGACCGCAGGAACCTGCCGTAAGAGCCTGGCGCACAGGCTTCCCTCAGGAAAGCAGGCTGCAGGACGAAGGGAAAGAGAGAAATAGAAAAGAAGGGAAGAAAGCCTAGCATGCCCGGGAAGGTGCTCGTGCGTGGACCCTCACCGGGGGCAAAGTGCTCTCTGCTGCTCCCACGCGCCTCCGGGACAGCTGGAGGACGCTGACCGGCCGCTGTGCGGGCGGGGGGTTGGGGGGTCACACCCATCACAGCCCCTCGATGCCCATGCCCAGGCCTGGCTCTGGCTCCTGGGGCCTCCTCCTCTTTGCTGCATCAGGGAGGAGAGGCCCAGGGGCTTGGCCCCCTTTGAGCAGGTGCTTCTCTGGCGGTGTCCCTCTCCCCACTCTCCGTGTAGCTGTAGACACCTCTCTCTTGCACCTTCTCCTTCCCCACCGGACCCACTCTGGTGCACCTCAGCCTGTTCCCTGGCAGGCCACTGCTTCTTGTTGCTGCCCCTGTGCTCAGCTGAGGCCCAAGTGTGCCCGAAGGAGGGCCAGGGCTTCCTCCGTCCAAGGCTCTGCGACCTGCTAGTGGTCCAGCACCGCCCCTAGGTCTGGGGTCAAAACCCCAGCTAGCAGAAGGCTTCCCTTTGCCTTTGCGTCCGCTCTCCGGGTGAGGGGCTGAGGCCGGGGTGATGTGTGTACTCCTGCGTGCCCTGACCTCATATCCACCCATCCAAGGCCATCTTGGTCTCGCCGAGATGCCCACGGTGGCAGCCATGCTAGAGAAAAGAAGGGAGGCGAAGCAGGGAACTGTGTCCTTGGTTCCCAGGAATTAGTCATCAAAAGGCCTGTGCATTTCCTTGACTCAGAAGCACTTAATTAGTAAAGAGGACAGGTCCAAGGAACACAGAGACGCTGGGGGCTGGGGAGCCTGTCACCGGAGGAGAGCAGGGCAGGGGACTGAGGCTGGGTCTTGGGCCCATGGAGCTAACAAAGCACCAGCACTTAGATCAGGTCCTCTGAGGACCGATACTGCGAGATCTGGCAGTGCCCGGGGCAGCCGTGCGGGAGCCAGAAGTAGCTCCTGGCAAATGGCCCTGTGCTGCAGGAAGACGGAGTCTGGCGTCAGACCTTGGTCTTTAGGGGAGGGTAGGTGGGCAAGCAACGCTGTGGGAGCCCGGGCTGCACATCCTCGACGGGGGACTGGGCGAGTGGGGACTGGGCTCCTGGGGGCAGCGTGGGGAAGGCGGGCCTCTGGGAAGCTGCTCTCAGGAAGCAGCAGGTCCTGTTCTGAGCCCTGGCTTCTTGCCCCCCACAGCCTTCCTGACTCTGACCCGTACGCGGTCGCTGTCTGCACCCTGTCCACACGGCGGGGGCAGGAGGCTGCTCAGCGGTGCTGGCCCCGTGTGAGTGACGCTGCTCCGCAGAGCGGATGAACTCACAGAGGCGGGGCAGGGCAACCTCCGGTAAGACAGTGCCTCCCAAACGGGGTGAGGCTCGGGGTTCACGGGGGTCACGAGCTGCCTGGGGGTGCTGGGGCAGGCCCGTCGTTCCTTTGGGTCCAGTTCCTTCCCTGTAAACATGAGGGCGGCTCTCAGAGCCCCTTCTGACTTCAAGCGTGGGTGTAGAACTGGAGCGGTTGGCGCTGTCAGCAGCTTGCTGCAGATGCCTATCTGACCTCCACGCGGGCACCCTGCACTCTCCCCCGTGAGTCAGGCCTGGCCTGGGCAGAGCCGTGCTTTCCCCTCTCCTTCTGAGTGAGGTTCAACTCAACACACCCTGGCTGGGCGTCACTGACCTCAAAGCACTTCCATCCAGAGATTCTTAGTCCGGGAGAAGAGACAGACAATAAAGCCCCACTGGAAAGGAGGTAACAGAACAGCTCAGTATAGGGGACAATTTGCCCATGAGCCAGGGAGGTCAGGGTGTTTTGTTGTTGCTGTTTGTTTGTTTTGAGACAGCGTCTTGCTATGTAGTGCAGGCTGGCCTTAATGCACTGTGCAGCCCAGGCTGGTCTCAAACTCTCAGCAATCCTCCTGCCTCAGCCTCCTGAGTACTGGGATTACAGGTATGTGCAATCACGCCGAGCAGGAGTCAGATTTTGTAGAGGAGTTGATTTTGAAACTGGATTTTGTTTTTTGTTTGTTTGTTTTTTGTTTGTTTGTTTGTTTTTCTCCGGTACCAGGAACCGAACTCACGACCTTGTGCTTGCCAGGCAGGCGCTTTGCCGCTGAGCTAAATCCCCAGCCCCTTGAAGCTGGATTTTGAAGGACGAATACGAGTTCGACAGATGGGCAAGGCATGAAAACCCTCTAAGAAGAGGGAATAGAAGTACAAAGGCACAAAGGTGAGAAACAGCAAAGCACAAGCAGAACTGCCAGGTCATGAAACAGCATGAAGAACAGAGGAACACTAGGGAGGAGGCCGAGCTCTGAATCAACGCAAAGCAGCACCGCTTTCCTGACCATGTGTTCCTGCTCTTAGCACCGTCCTGACCCAAGCGCCTGCGACCCCAGCGCACCCAACCTGCGTATCAAACACCCTCCCCTGCCACCTCCCCAACACCAGCAGCACCCATACCCCAAGTCAGCTCCCACGAGGCTGGCGGCTTGGGAGCCTGACCACGGGCAGAGGGGTGGGCCTGGGCTCTGGTTGTGGTGTCCTCGCTTTGTGCTGTGCCTGCGCCTGTGTGTCTGAAACCCGCATGTCTCACTGCAGGTCCAGCTGCCCCCAAGGCCTCCCTGGGCACCAGAGCAGCGCTGCATCCCTTCCCACCCTGGGATGGACTGGGGGGCCCTCTGCTGCCACCAGGAGGCGCTGTGTCCTCTTTCCGGCCCCAGCCGGCTCTCTGCCCTGGCACCAGCCCCACCTCCACCCTGCCCCACAGCCCCACCACTCTTGCATCCCCCCTCCGTGGCAGGAGATGCCCATTATCCGGGAACTGGCTCCAGTGACCATCTCTGGGAGAAAGGAGAATTCTAATCTTTAGGCCACCCTGGAGGCCTTGCCGTCCGGCTAGCGGTTCTGCAGACCCAGGCTTTCCAGGAATCTATTATTAATGTTGTTTCTGTTCGTTAACACTTTTGTTTTTCAACAAAGGGTTCCTGGCAGTCAGGTAGGGCCAGTCTAAGGCGCCTCTGTGAGTGGCCCGGGTTGGGCTTGGGAGGTCCAGGAAATCCTCTAAGCCCTACCACCGGACTCCTCCCACACCCTCTGCCTGGGTTCCTGCTGAGATAAACAATCGGCAACAGGCACGGGAGGTCCCACGTTCCCTTGCAGGTCAGGGATGCCCAAGGTAAGAACTGCGCACCCTCACGGCCTGAGACGTCTGCACAGGGACCCTGCCTTCACTTCCCAGACTCCTCCCCGTGCGCGGCCCCGAGGATGGTGTGGACAGACCCTCCACTGGGGCTTTTGCTGACTGAGCCACCTGGGACTGGTCCCCCTCTCTCCCCGCCGTCTCTTTCTCCCAGGTAAAGTCCTTTATTTGGTCCTGGAGACACACAGATAGTGGCCCACTGGGAGGAGAGGAAAATCACCGAGGGTCAGACAGCCCAGCCTCAAGAGTCGAGGGATCTCTGCCACACCCCCTTCTGACCTGGTTGATCCGTGAAGGCAGCCAGCAGAATTTCCATCTCTCTTGACCAAAGTCCAGTGCCTCCTTTTCCCCTCCCCACCACGGAAGAGAGCAGGGTCAGGTGGAGATGCGAGCACAGGACCACCCCCGCCGCCAGCCCCGATCCTCCCACGTCCACTGTTCCTCTGATCTCATCCCCTTCTGCCCAGATTCAGATCTGATGCTGGGCTGTCCTTTAAGGCTGACCTCTGACTTTACCTCCTCCAGGAAGCCAGCCGTGATGCTTTCTCCCATCCCAGAATTCCTGCGGCCCAGGGATCATGTCCTCTGGTGGAGTGTGGGAGTTGGTAGAGCTGTCCGCAAGCACTCTGGTCCTCTCTCCTGGACACTTGGAAAGGGTTACTTCCCGTCCACTGGAGGTTAGGTGGGGCCACATGGCTTTCCTTGCGTGGAAATAAGGAGTATTTCTTCCAGGTAGGTATCTTTAAAGTCAGTACAGATCCTCTTTGACTTAGGAAGAGGTTATGTCCCACTACACCCATCATAGCCTGAATATATCGTAAGTCAAAAACCTGTTTGATACACCAAACCTACTCAACACACAGCTCACTACCCACACACTGTCGAGTGTTGCTGTTCCCCGCTTGATCACTCTGTGATCTGAGGCTGTGGTCACTGGAATGGGATCGGACCACATATCCCTGCCCAGGAAGAGAACCAGGCCCCACATTCCAAGTACATTTTATCCTGCATGTGTGTTGCTTTTGCTTGCTGTAAATTTGAAAAATCCAAAATAAAACCATGGCCAAGTAGAAACTATCTGTCTACACTTTCCTATGACAGCTGTCCAAGTTCCAAACAACCGTTCCTGACTCCTGGACTGAGGAAGACAGGCTGAGCCCCTGCAGATCTGTGATAGACAAGTAATTGTAACCAAAAAGTAAACCTTTGTAGTTTTAAACGACCAAGATTTTTGGAGCTGCTTGTCACTGTAGCATAAAGGAGTCTCTCCTAGCTGATACACTGTGTGAGCAACCGGCATGTCCCTCCATGAGCTGGAGATACAAAGCCCATAACGCCTTCTCTTCTTCTTCAAGTTGTAGAGACCTCAGGTCCTCACCTGCTAAGACTGGTAAGAAGTACAATCTTCCCCACAGAGTTTCTACTGAGAAGCAGTCCCCAGGCCCTGGTCTTCCCGTTCCTACCCTGGCTGCATAAATAGGTGCCTCCCATCCCCATAACTAGTGGCTCTAGATGGGCTCACCTAGCTGCTGGTGGTCAGTCCACCCAAGTCACTGCAGGCCAGAGGCCCCTCAAAGCTCACAGAGTATACCCTGCAGCCACCCGGGGCCGTGTGCTTTGTCAGGGCAGCCCTAAGCTTGCAGCCCTGCGGTTCTTTCTTAAATAATAGACACCACCCCAGGACAAGTCCCTCCAACTGCGCAGCTGGACAAGCCCACATCTTTCACCTCCCTCCACAAGTCCCGGTGAGTTCTCCCAGAGATCTCCCAGGGACTTTCCTCCTGGGCCTCCGGGAGTCAGCCCAAACACCGCTGGATACATCCTCAGTCATTTCAAACCTCGGAAGGATGACTCATGAGCAGACCCAACTCCCCTAAAAGGCCACAATCTCAGGGTGCAAATGTAACCCCTCAGTACCACCCTGCAAGCAACCATCAGGCTCCTTGTGTAGATGCCACGGCAGAGGGTGACACAGGCCCACGTGCCCTTGGGCTGGAGCCCAGGTCAAGGAGTCTCAGCATGCCAGCCACAGCCTCGCCCAGAACCCTGGTGGCTGCTGATCAGAATGTTAAAGCTGCTCTCAAACGTACCAGCGTCTTCTCCGAGCAGAAGCCAGGCCCCCCGGTGCCCCTGCCCCCACTGCCACCGGAAGGTAGAGACTTTAAGACTCACTCCTCTAGACACAGCCACACGGGAAGCTCAGCCCCCTTCCCTGGCACCCTTGCCTCCCTGACTCTATAGCGTCTTCTCAGATTCCCGGGAATGTGAGATGAACCCAGCAGGGAAGGAATCCCAGGGGTCGCAGCAATTTTCTCCGGCACGTGGGAGAGGATCCGCCTCCCCAACGGACCACAGCAGCCTGGCTGTGATCTCCAGCCCCGAGCCCTCGGCCCAGGGAGGAAGAAGGTGAGAGAGACCTGCAGGGGACAGAGGTGACATCAGTGGTTTGGCGGTGCCACTGTGCCACGTGTGGCCCCAGCAGTCCTAGGCCTTTCTACGACCTTGTAACTGGAAATTTCTGCTCCCCGCAGAATAGTCCTCATCCCCAACCCTCTAATCTCCCTTTGCACAATCACAGATTCCTGACGAGATGCCAGGAAGCCGGGTTTGGGGAAAGCACCCCTGTTCTGCGTGCCTGCTTGGAGAGCTGAGCTGAAATACATGCTCCGTAAATCTGTTCCTGAGACAAGGTCCGACACCACCCGTCTCACAGACTGGTGGGTTCCTCTAGGGCCCTCCACTGCGCTCCTAAATGAGGGAGCTGCCCGTGCCAGGTTGCGGGTGGAGGCCAGGCTGGGCAGAGCCTCCACCCCAGGGGACGTGAAGGGACAATGAGGCGTTTGCCCTTGCAGCAGGACCTCAGGCCCCACAGGCAGTGAGTCACAGGCAGTGAGTCACCTGCGCCGTGTGACAGCCCTTGCGGATGCTCTCCCGTCTCACGCTGTGAGCCGTGCTCGGGCCCCACCCAAGGGCACGCGGGGCAGCGTGCAGCCGGGAGGTTACTACTTCCTAACACACTGCGGTGGAAATGACCGCCCTTCAATCACAAGCTGTATCTGCAAGACACAGGGCTGAGGAGGCATCGGCTGCAGGCCGGAATCACCCTTACCGGGGATTTGGGGCCGGGTCTCCCCAACAATTAGGTTGTTACCGTCGTGGAAACCTTGGGTCCCAGAGCAGACGATGTGCCCCGCCCCCTCTCTGGGACTTAGGCCAGGAACAGGAGGTGGCAAAGACAGTGGGAACGGGGACTACGACTTCGCCTCCCCGCAGTGGGCCTCCTGACCAGTGGCTGAGAAGTGGGGGTCCCAGGACCTGGCCCCTCCTCTGCGGGCTGGAACACGGACAGACAGCTGTGTAAGAGAGCAAAGCCGCTGCCCACAGAGCCCTTGGTCACCTTCCTGTCCTCCTTCCAGCCGCTCCTGTGGAGGCCGGTTTGTCTGTGCCCCCAGGCCGAGCTCCTGAGGAACGGGACATGCGATCGGGACCTCTGCCCACTCGGCACAGGGGTGGCACAGAAGGGTGCTGCTAGGGCCCCAACGAGTGTTGGTGGCGGTGCCTTCTCGGGAGCTGACCTGGCCCCTTCTGTTTGCTGTACCGCTCAAGTAGAGGGCTGGGTCACCTTGGTTTCTCCTGCCTCTGTGTAAACCTGAACCTCTTGGCTCACTGGGGTAAAAAAGGTGCCCTATCCTGGGTAAACTGAGGCAGGAGGCACTCTGGGTTCAGACCCAATGATATGGTGCTCTGTGGAGGGCAGATGCTGCCATTAGAGTGGCTTGTTTCTCCCCCACTTGTTTTTGGGGTGTTTGAGTACCACCCCAAGGCCCCCTGTAGCTGGTTTAAGAGGCCTTAGTGTAAGGAACTGAGAATTCTTTTAAGCCTGGGAAAAGGACCTCAGAAACCTTCCAGAACATTTTCTGTACAAATGTGGACATATACACGTTCTTACAAATATGAAATCTCAGCTGGGCATAGTGGTGCAGACCTATAATCTCAGCACTCAAGAGGCTGAGGCAGGAGAATCACTGTGAGTTTGAGGCCAGCCTGGACTATATAAAAAGTTAAAGGCCAGTCTAAATTACAGAGTAAGACCCTGTCAAAGAAGAGAAAGAAGGAGAAGGAGAAGGAGGGGAAGGAGGAGGAGAAGAAGGAGATGAAGGTGTGTCTGGGTATAGTGGCACACACCTTCAATCCCAGCACTCGGGAGGCTGAGGCAGGAGGATTGTTGGGAGTTCAAGGCCAGCCTGGGCTACAAAGTGAGCTCAAGGCCAGCCTGAGCTGCATATGAGACCTTGTCTCAAAAAGACAAAAAAAAAGAAGAAAGACAAAAAGAGAAAAAAAGAGAGAAAGAAGAGAGAAAGAAAGAATGAAAGAAAGAAGAAGAAAGAAAGAAAGAAAGAAAGAAAGAAAGAAAGAAAGAAAGAAAGAAAGAAAGGAAGGAAGAAAATGTCGCTCTACATTCCTTCATTTGGTACTTGGAGCTTGCGATTTTACTCAAAGATGTATCACAAACTTCTACATTTGCCTCGCTGAGCCCTCCTGGCTGCTGGCCCCTCTGCCCGTGCTCGGGCCGTATCTCTGCAGGGGCCGTGTGGGAGTTCGCGCACATGCCCTGCTGCAGACATTAGCTCGTTTGTCGTGTTTGCATTGAGAGCAGCGCGTGAGTGGACATCCCTGTGCACCTTGACCGAGCTTCCCACGGCTCAGTCACAGGAGCACAGCTGGGTAGAGAGGAGGCATCGGGGCTGTTTTTAAATTTTCTTGGCACGGAATGCATCACTGCTCTCCAGGAAAAAATTGCGCCAATGAAACGGACCCCCTCCAGCAGCCCGTGTGAGCGCACCCCGACTCACTCACACACCCTCACCAGTGCCGGGCTCTGTGGACTTGCAAATGCTTTTCAAAGAACACTTCATCAGTCATAAGAAAGAAATGTTCCCCCTGCTGCTGACGGTATGGCTTCATGGGACACGGTGCCTGGGAGGGGCTAGCAACTCCCAAGCAGCTCTGTCACCTGTCAGTCACCTACACCCTCGCTCTCACGTAGTCCTACAAGGAAGGGCCGCTGCTCCCTGTTCACCGGTGAGCAGGTAATGTTCAGAGAAGCCGGGTAACTCGTCCAAGGTCACACAGGTAGGAAGTGGCCAGTCAGGTTCTGACCCCAGCTCTGAGGTCAAGACGCTGATGTCCTCCAGCCCCGGAAGGGGGATAACCCCAAGGGTACCGCCCCCTTCACAGGCAGGATGCAGAAAGCTGGCTCATTCCCAACTCTTCCTTCTCTTCCACCTGCTGTAGGGGTGATGGGGGGGTTGGCCCTGGAAGGGGACAGCGCCATGAACTCTGGGACGCTGGCTGAGTCACCCAGCCTGAATGTCCGTCCCACATCCTCTCGTGGACTTTGACCGGGACTATGACTTCAATCCCGGGGGACACTAGCACTGAGCTCAGGAAGTGGATAATGACTGGACACAGAAGCTAAGAGCCTCAAGTGCCCTTCGTGACAGGAGTGTGGGACATTTTTATGAAGAGAGAAGTCTTTGTCTCGTAAATTGCACTTGTGAGAAACCAGCAGGTGCTGGCTGGTGACCATGGATACGCCCTCCACAGCCAGAGGCGGCCTCTGCTGCGCTGGGCTCACGCCCGCCCATTAAGCCGCAGGAAAGTGCACCAAGGCTGTCTGAGCAGGGAGGGTCCAGGTTCGGGCAGATAACGGCTGCTCACTGGGAGCAAACAAAGCAAGGGCTGCAGAGGCCAAAGGGCCTGGGCCTGGGCCCCACCCTCGGAGGTTCTGACGTGAATAGGAGGGGTGAGTCCTGAGCCCTGGTAGTTCTCAAAGCTCCCAGGTGATTCCACCCACAGCCAGTGGTGAAAGATAAAAAGCCCTTCCCACCCCTGTCAATCAATCACACAACAAGCTCTAACAAGCACAGATGGGTGGGCAACCAGAAACAGGGCACCCCTTGAGCCCAAGCCTCTGACCCTCCCTCCCCACGGGCAACAGACAGACCCAATCCAAGCCCAGAGACCAAGGGCCACCTCCGAGCAACTTCAGGGTTTGCTTTCTGCTTACTGCCCTCTGCCTGGTTCCACCGAGGTGAGACCCACAACCAGCTATTTTTTTAATGTGATAAAACTAAAGTAGCTGTTTATTTAACCCTTCATGAACTGATTATTGAAAACATTTTACAGGTTAATGTTCAAATACTCTTTAACTCTTCTTTCTTTCTTTTTTTGTTTTTTGTTTTCTGTAAAGCAACCGGCTTTTGACCTCGCCCCTCGCTGGTGCCTTCCTTTCTCCTCCACGTGCGCCCGTGCTGGGCCGCACACTGCCCTCACTGTCCTTCCAGGAGGCAGCGTGCCCCGGTCCTCTGTCTTGCTCCTGTGCTCAGCACCACGCCGCTGAGGGCAGCAGACCCCGCGGTCATTCCCCTTGCGCACGTGTGTAACCGCCTCAGGCCCGTGATGAGCACCCGCAGTGGGAGGAGGAAGCGAACCTGGCTCCGCCCTCGGCCTCTGCGACCCAGCTGCTCAGAGCAGGGCTGCGCTGTGCTCAGAAGTCTACACTGCATGCGAAGCCTCCCCGCCTCGCTCAGTGTGGACAGCTCCCCTCTTCTCTCCCAGCCAGGCCAAGCCAGAGTTGTCACAAACGCGTGTCCTCTGGCTCTCAGGGGCGCCTGGTGC